TTGAGCAGAAGATGCCAATAGTACACTCTGTGAATATATATTTTATTTAAAGTTTAAAAGCAGAAGAAATAACCATTGGTGTCAGAAGACAGGGAAGTGCTGACTTTTGTCAGAGGGAGCCACACTGAGGCCAGGGCTCACTGGGGGTTGTCTGCATTGCTGCTCATACTCCATTGCTTGTGTTAGCAGGTGGCAGTTACATGGGTATATTCACTCTTGACTATGCATGGAGCTGAAAATTTGTCATTTGTGCATTTTCCTATATACAGAATCTTTCTGGAAAAGACTGACCTCTCCGTGGAGGATGGCAGTAGAGCAGGAGGAAAGTGAAAAATACATAGACACCAACCAGAGCTGCTGTCCTCATTCTAGTGTGAAAGACACACTGTCCTGTTAATTTAGGTTCACCATACCTTGAACCTTGGAAAATTTTCAGAATTTCTTTTCCCTGTAGTTTCAGTAAGTGCTGGTAAACTCATTTTTTTTTAATAACACACACTAAGAAGTTATACCTGAGTCTGCTCCCTGTGCTTAGCTCCAGTTCCCAGGTGCAAGAATCCTGCAGTGTGTCCCAGGCAGCTGTCAGGTGCCTCCCCCCGAGTGGGGACCCCAGACTGCACTCAAAGATCCAAGTTTCCTTGACTTTTCCCCACCCTCCCACTCAGGCTTCAGAGTTCTGTAGGGAGAAAAAAGACACTTTTATCCCTCCCTACTACCTGATTTATTCTCTTAGGAAGAGTTTCTTATTTTTCTCAAAACTTCCCAGCAGGAATCAGATGAATCATAATTCTTAAATGTTGATAAGTTATTAAAGTTGCTGAAAAAGTATGCACAGGTACATTTCTCCTGAGGGAAATTTTTGATTGGAGTGAAAGTACTATAGGACTCAAAAAAAAAATGTGTTTGTCTTGCTTCATTTTTCAGAGTAGAAGAAGGGGGAGATGGAGAGAGATGAAGAAATGTTTTGCTTACACATACAATAGTGTTTTTCCACCTGCTGTTTATATGAGCACATTATTGCTCTCGGAAGGGAATCTAATCTTCTAAGTGAAGCACATCGGTAATAAATATGCCGATATTGTACAACTTGACTTAGATAGGGCTGGAATGTGCCCAAAATGTAAAAGGTACATTTCCCCTTTCCTTTTCCCTCCTACTCCTCTCCTGCTGTCTTCCTTTCTTCCTTTCAATGTCTTCATTTTCTTTCTCATTCACTTTTTCCTTCCCTGCTATCCAAGCAGATCAGTGTGGATTCACATATATTTCTGATGAAAACAAAGAACTGAAAGGACAAAGATGAATTTGAGCAATAGTCATTGTACTATTCCATTTTAAGTTCATACGTGGAGTCCTGGAATAAAGATGTGAAGAAAGTTTGTTGTTTTGTTATTTGGATTAGAGACAAGGAAGTTCAGTTCAATTTTCTTAAGAGTCCATTAGCTAATGAGTAATTTTATCATTGCTCCCAGAAAATATTGCCTCAAATGCTTTGGTGGGCAAGTGCTCAGTTTAGCAGGATCTGAAGAGGGAGTGCATAGGAAATATATGGCTTGTACCAATTTAAGTTGTAAGTCAGAATATGTCATTTGGCATGGATCTAACATCACAGAGTTGGACTGAAGAAAATGCAACAATAAATTCATTGGAGCACAAAGATTCTGAATTGGTAATTCTCTGCTTTGAAATGTGAGTGGGTGATTAAACTCATTGAGAATCTGTACGAGTTACAAGCTTTGTGAATAAGGAATTCATTGACAGGAGTGGCCTATTTATTGAATCTATCAAAGCTTACTTTTCAAATTTATGGCTAGAAGCTCAATTATTTGCACAAAAAATTCACAATGACAATTTTACAGATGCCAAATAGTCTTCCTCAAAGATGCCTTTCTTGACCCTCTAGGGGATGTAGCTCCTTCTTACTTCTCATCCTGCCTTACTACCCTATTTTTTTCCTGTATTTTTATCTATCTCTACTAGAATTCAAGTTCATTTTGTTTTACTAATTCTTTCTTTCCAAGTATATATCTACTGAGTCTTAAAAAATTAGACAAATGTCTAGGACACTTTATACCTTACTACTTCTTGCATCTTTTCATGCCACCTCTGTTGTCTAAAATATTCTAACATTAACTTTTAGAATTTTATCTGCCCTTAGAAGTACAGACCAGAAACCATGCACTGGAAAAGATACCAGTATCACATTAACTGGAACTTTCTCCTTCTTTCTTCCCCTGACTTAATTCTTGTATTATTCATTCATTCAACAAATATTTACAGAACATTTCTATGTGTCAGCCACCATCCTGGTGACAGAGGAGTAAACTGAAAGAGAATGGCTCCTTGATGTAGCTTATATTTTAGTGAGGGGGGCAACATTAGAACCACATAGTTATATTTACAACTGTGCTGAGGGCCTCAGAAGAGAAATACACAATGCTGCTTGAGCACACAGCTGAACTAACTTATCTCCTCCCAACTTCCAAGGAGGCTTTTCCAACCTGAGATCTTAGAGTTGAGGAGATGGGTGGGGTGAAGACAAGGAGTAGTCCAGGCAGAGTATAAGACTGCAAAATCCTGGTAGCATCAGCAAGTATGCAGTGCTTAAAGAAATGAAAGAAAGTTGGTATGGCTGGTGTATAGTGAGTAGCGAATAGCCTGGGGCTGGGCAACTACAGGGAGAAACCAAATTTTGTGTAGGTCTAGAGCTGTGTTATGGGTTTTGGCACTCATCATAAGATCAACTATTGAAATGTTTAAAGTAGGGGATAAAATCATCATATTTCTTACTTGCAAAAATTGCAAATGGGATGGAAATTAATTGCAAATTATAATGGTAAGAGTGAATTGAATAGTCTACACTAATGAACATATGAACAGACTAAGTGCATTTTAGGTGTCAACATGAACAGGACAAAGTAAAGAACAGTACATGGGTCATAGGGGAGAGGAAGAAAAGATGGCTCCTGGGTTTCAGTGTAGAACCATTCACTGGATGAGAACAGGTTTGGGAGAGTGGAGAATTCCAATCACTGTATTTCCTTTGTATGGTACCTGTGCTAGTCAACCTTGTATTGTCATTGTATTTTTTTAATACATTTTAATACATTTAATACATTTTTAATTAATTAATTTATTTATACAAGCACTGGGTACAGTCAGAAGCACGGGAGGGTAAGAGAATTCACGAGAGCTAGAGCGGGGAGCAGAACAGGCAGACTGATGAAGTACACTGCTGAGAAGAGTAGCGGGCCCGGCAGGAGAGGTTTGCGCACAATGTGGGACATTTGCTGGCTGGCCGGGGATCGAACTGGCGCTGCAGAGGCTGCGGGCAGCTTCCCAGCCCAGCACTCAACTGCTGCGCCACTGGAGAGGCCCTGTATTGTCATTTTAGAACATGCATTGCACTGGACCTAACTATATAACTCACATGTGGAAGACACGACATAAATATCAATGAAATGAACAAATTCACGAAACTATTAGTCATTTTCCACACTTGCAAAGGTAGGTGAGATCAGTGCTCCAATGACTCACAAAAATTATAATTATTCACCTGTATCTTTAATTTTTGTGAAAGATTAAAACATCAAATTGTATTTCAAATAATTGAAGTGGCTAGTCTGTTTATATAATATCATCTAGATTTATAATCACTGAGTTTTTGTTTAAATAGGTCATTTCAACTGTCAAATGTGGCATAAATTCCTAGATCTGAGATTTTATAGTAAATAGGGTTTCTGACTCCCATAACTATTTCTCTAGCCCAAACATTTTCTAGAAAATTTATGTTCCAACTCACTCACTTGATTCCACCAGTGGTTTGAGGCCATACTATGGCTTCTTGGTGACAAGGTATCTACCCTGGCTGTCTTCCTCACACTGAATTTAGAAAAGCAACTTGTTTATGTGAAGAAACCTCATTGTCCTGGCTTTGCTACCATTAAGTTATATAACCTGCATTTAGCTAATTAAATTCTTTCATTTTCAGTTCTCTCAGATACAAATGCGGATGACTCCCAGCTTCAAGACACACACTACAAATGAAGACTCGCTTGGCCTTGACTTGATTGCATGCTGCTTCCCATAATTGCTTCCTGGGGCCCCAGCACTGGGTTACTCTAATCACAACCTTCCTTCTACTCCCGCAGCACATCTTTTAGTGAGGAGCAGACTGAGAATTCCTCGTGCACGCACTACTCAGGGAAGGTGGCAGCTTGGCACATCTCCTTGTTGAACAAGGAGTGTTGGCGGGGACTCTGCCAGCAACTAGTGCCAACACTGCGAGTGGTCTGATTCTTTCTACTTGCTTGGTCTTAACCAAACACCTTTTTTTCTTTCTTTTTTTTTTTTTTTTTCAAATTTAACTGAGTCAATGTAGGGAAAAAGAGTCTGACTTTGGAAACAGACTGCCTGCCTTTAGAGTTCTACCACTTTTTGTGTGATGATGGGTAAGTTACTTAATCTTTCTGTGCCTAGGTTGTTTCCTCTCTAAGTCTAAAATGTTAATCATACCTAATTCTGGACTTATGATGAGGATTACATAAATGTGACATCCTTAGTGCTGTGCATGAGGTTAGAAAGCAGCCTGTGCAACGCCCTGCTATGGACCTCCTGTCACTAGTAACAGCAGACAGAGTATGACAAGGAGATGACAAGGCTGAGGAGTGGGAGTTCAGTGACTATCTACAGAACACAGCTCAGCATTCTCTGTATGGCATTCAAAGCCAGTCCATCTGGTCCTGGATGTGCTCTGCTCTCATCTGTCAGTATCTCCCACCCAGTTAGCCTGACTGCTCTTCTAGAACCCAACAAGGTCTCTGTTCATTAATTCCTGAAGGCATTTTTCAGTAATTCATTGAAGTTTTTTATAATATTTACTCTGAATTCTTTGTCAGATCACAATATTCCATGTCTGAGTTCTGTTGCTAGGAGATTATCATTTTCCCTTTGTGATACCCTATTATTCAGATTTTTCATGATGTTTGATGAAAAGAATCTCTGCCATTACATTTGAAGAAACAAATGCCTTTCTTTTTAAGGGAAGACTTTGTTTACTTGGTTTCTAACAGTTAGTTCAGCAGGCAGGTAATTAGGAGCTTCTTCTTGTTTTTCAGAGCATTTCTATAGCATGAGTTTATGGTTTCCCCTAGCAGAGATGACCTGTCACTAAGACTGAGAGCACAAGTATTAAAAAAAAAAAAAATAGAGTTGCAACACGGGGAGAATGTATACTGAACTCTGCATAGCTGGGTAGAGGAATCCTTAAGTGGGTTGCGGGTTATGGTGGTCCCCAAAACCTCTTGCCAGGATCCCAAAGCAGAGACCAGGAGACACATTCCTTCAGATCTTTGTCTACTGCCCTACTGCCCTTTCCTTTCTCTTCTTCCAGTCATTGTGGTCTCTGCTTGAAGGAAGCATTGGCTCTCCATAGCTGCTGAATTCATAGCCTGGCACTCCTACTCTCTACCTTCACCCCCCTTCTTCTTTGTTAGAAAGGTCCATGATGTCTTATTCTTGCCTCCTCTTCCACCACTGCTTCTGCCAACTCCCTCTCCATTGCCCTCACTCCATGGACATGTAGGCATACAATGCACCCACTTTTGCAGGCAGGGATATATTGGGCCTCTTGCCATGTTACACAGAGGTGCTTTTTAAGACATGGTTGTCCATTTACTTGCAAATGAGAGATAAAAAGGAACATTCCACATCACCATGATACTGACATCACTCTTTGGGACATAATTATTTTCAGTGATCTATGAGGAGGTGATGCCCATGAAAGGATGAAGTGGCTGAGAAGGTGGAAATTCAGCTTTTCCACTGTAACTCTGACTTTGGACAGGTATCCTTTCTGTACCTCAGTTTTCTCACTTGTCAAATGAAGATGCCAACATTATTTATCAGGTAAGTTTATTTATCAGGTAACCATGTCTGCACAGTAATTGTTATATAATAATTGCAACAAAATTATGTAAGTGTGATACAATTTTGTAGGCTGCAATATCTATTACTGTGCCTTCCAGATATTGAGATGTTACCTAACTGGATGGCAGATTGAGGTAAGTGCTTTTTGTTTCCTGAGTGGGGTGTGTATGTGTTGTTCTCAAAGAACTGCTACTAAAAACACTTTTACTCATCAGTTCTTGATACTATTTTGCATCTCTATGGCAATAATATCACACATCATATAGTTGGAATGAAATTATTAGGTAGCTATCTAAGTTCCTTCTGCCAAATGAAGCCTGAAATGTGAAAACTGATACTTCTAACATGCAGAGCAAATAAACAGTTTGAAAGAACATATTTTCTCAGTTGTTTGTAGGTCCTTCACTTCTAATAATCTAGAAAGCTTTCCAAAACAGAAGGCAAACTAGCTTGAAAGAAGATCACCTTATTTGCTAATTGTGCTCAAGGGTTCACATTAAAAACTTGTAAAGACAAGTTTGAGGAAGATAATTTTTATGCCATGGCTAAAAAGTTAACAAATTAGCCTGCTTGCAAAAGGTGATACCCTTAGATCATATTCCCTACAATAGCAAAAGCCAGAGTATCATTTTCATGTACTGGTTGTCTGAGTCCCAGGTCCCATGGGGTGATGTATCGAGGCTGGGTAACAAGTGCACACAGTTGATATCAGTAGAGAAAGAAATCTGAGCTTTCCAAATCTAAGTCCTATATATTATCAGTAAGCAGCATGCCCTTTGCTCTATCATTCGAGGTTGTTCACTAATCAAACGTCCTTAAAAAGATAATGTGCAGACCATCCGATATTCTTTTTCTTTCTGGCTTATTTCGCTGAGCATGATCCCTTCCAGCTCCATCCACCTTGCTGCAAACTGCATGAGTTTATCATTTTTTAATTGCTGAGAAATATTCCATTGTGTATATGTGCTTCATCTTCTTGATCCAGTCATCTATCTTTGGGCATTTAATGGACCAGGAAAAAACCTAATTATAATAAAGTAAAAATCCACAAGCAACTATAAACCAGAGACTCACTACAGGGGGGTGGGGAGGAGGGAGTAGGATCAAAAAAAGGGGGTGGGAATTGTATGGAAACTATAACCAAGATGAAAATGCATACATTGTGCAAAAATGAGAAATGATGTAAAAAATGTATAAAATAAAAAAAATGATAAAACAGAAAGATAATGTGCAAGAACAACAATGTCTCCAACAGCTTTATACTATATCCATCGTGTACACATACATACCTGGCTCTGTTATAAGAGTGATATAAATTCATAAGTGGAAAATCATCGAGATTCAAGTTGAAAATGAGCCTTCCCTGAGACTGGTCATGTGTCAGGATATTGGGGTAACCCTCCATTGTTCTGAGTGCAGAAGCACCATTTGCACCTTCAGTTGGTCAGTTGGCACCAACTTATATATATTATACTTTAGGTTTACTTTAGGTTTACTCTCTGCCCAAACCATAGTAGTATTTTTAAGAGTCACTGTTATCCGCTCCAGGAGAGGGTTAGTTCATTTTCACTTTCCTGTTTTTCTTTTGATTCTGGGCTCACTCTGGCACTAAGTAGAAAGCTTTTCTTCAGATCACCACAAGTCTTACTTTCTCATTTCCTTTCAGCCTTGCTCAAATGCTTTTATTTTTGAATTTATATAGGGCTTATGATTTTCTTTGCATTTCTTAAAAATATCAGGTAAACATATACTTCAGGTATCTCATAAATGTCTACTGCCCCAGGGGAATCAACTCAACTCTAACAATTCCAACCAAAACTGAATCTATGTGGAAAATACAAGTATTCCACGGTGTACGGAGATTTGTGTAGGGCAACTAAACGTTATTAGAGCATGGACAGTGAGAGAGAGGGAGGTCCCTGGTCATCAGCTCCATAAGTTACTTTATTGAACAGATAAATTTGCCTATGGGGTGATATTATGATTCTATTCTTCTTATTTTGTCTCCATGGAGACCAGTTAATTAAAATCCAAAGATATAATATTTCTATATTAAATTTTATAGTTAGGATAGTAAAACTGTTGAATCTAATAAAACATATTTTAATATGGAAAATTGTCCAAGGTCATATCTGTTTGCCAGGATTACCATAACCAAGTATCATGAAGTGGGCAACTTGAAACTAATTAATTCTTACCCAGTTATGGGGGTTAGAAGTCTGAAGTTAAGATGTTGGTAGGATCCACACCTCTTCCAGCTTCTGGTGTCACAAGTGTCCCTTGACTTGGAAAGATATCTCCATTCTCTATCCCCCTGATATGATATGTTCTCCCTGTGTCTGTCGTCATGTGGTGTTCACGTTGTTGTTCATGTTCAGCTCACCAGTTTGTCTAAATATTGTCCTTAAAGGACACAAGTCATATTGGATTAGGCTGATACAAATAACCTCTTACTTGAATACAGTGATAAAGACTTTACAAATGAGGTCACTTTCATAGGTACTTGAGATTAGGACTTCAACATATTTGGGGAACAATTATACTCGCAACAATTTAATTCACCAAAAAATTAATTTGTCTACAACCAGAAAGTATTTAATTAAGAAACCGTTCATTAACTCTCCTTGCTTCTATGATGTCCCAAATAAAGTCAGAGAACTGGTTAGTACCCCCAAATTTTTTGTCCTCAGAAACTGCCAGATTTTTTTAATGATGCCTTTCATTTTCAAGGAAGAGTAGAAAGCTTATTTTTTTGTGGTTTAGAAACAAAACTCCCTTTTGATAATCATTGGCTATAATATCATTGCTATTATCTAAACTATTTAAAGATTATAAAATATTAATGGTTTATAGAATTTTCCTTTGTTCTTTTTACTTACAGGCAATTTATAATGCATTCAATATGCAATGGAAGAGAATCTATAGACATAAAATGACTGAGAGTTTTCCTTCTGCTCTCCAGAAAATGTCCTTCTACAAGTAGTGCATGCAAGTATCTAATTGGTCAAATTCTTAATGGCACTGAGTGTTTTATTAGTATCAATTGCTTACTGGTGGGTTTATGCAGATTTCCCCAGAGAACTTATCATGTTCCCTTCCATATAATCCACATCCATTTTGCCCAGCTTTATTTTTCTTCCTAGCTTATTTATTTATCTGTTATACGTTTGCCTGTTTTGATTTCAGCTTCCCCGCTGGAATATAAGTTCCCTGAAATAATCAGAGTCTGTAGTCTAGTTCATTGGTTTATCCCCCAGTCCCAGACATGATACCTAGCCTATAGTAGGTGTTCAACAAATATCTGTTAAATGAATGCAAGAACTAGGGATCAAACAGACCAAGTATCTGGTTAGATTTTCAAAACAAGGTGAGATTGGGATTCTAATGCTGTTCTTCCAACTTCACTTCCTTTATGGTCTCTTCTGTGCACCAGTAACTTTGCTCAGCCTCTCTCTACCCTCCTCCAGGCAGGCCTAGGCTAGGTCAGCCTAGAAGCAGAGACACGCTAGGAAAACAAGGGAGGCAGAGGAGGGAGGAACTGAAGCCAGGGTGAGGCTGAAGGGCAGGTCAACTTTACAGGTAAGCCTATCGGGAAGATCACCTGACCTAAGGATCTGTGTGCACCAGCCTTCTGGGTTAACACCGATGCATTTATCTGCACCCTGTAAATGTGAACCGTCAGAAGTTTGTCTCTCCATGTCAGCCCTGCCTGTCTTAATAAACACTTTATATAGAATTGTAATCTACAAAGCAATTTATAAAACTGTCACAAATGAATCCTCTTATGATTCCCAGGATGTGGGCAAGTTAAAGGTAATAGAATTGGAAAATAATGAGGTTCGTGAAAGAAGAACAGCAGAAAGACCTCAAGAAATGGTTAGAGAGCCCAGAAAATCTCACCACATTTTGAGCACCCAAATGTTCTCATTGCTGCTGACAGCATCTAGGAGCACTTCACCCCAGTGCCTCCACATCCTCCAGTCAGTGACAAATGCTGATCAGTACCCCATCCATTGTTTTTCACCTTTTTATTGTTATTGAAGTACCATTGTTTACATTCTGGCTAGTGTTTTGACTCTATAGGATCTCCCCCCTCAGTCGTGGCCCCTGCAGCACTCCCAGCATAAAGTGCCCACAGTCCACCATAGTCTCCTGTGTTCCCTTCTCACCCTCCTTTCCAGGCCCCTTTGTCCCCCACTTTCATTCCTTTCTCTTTCCTTCTCTCTGAAAGCCAAAGATCTACGGTCAGTTTTCAAGAGTTTGTTTTGAAGTTTATCTTCGACCTTCTTTTGGTTTCTCTATATTCCATATGTAAGTGACGTCATCTGGTATTTATCTTTCTCCTCTGGTTTATCTCATTTAGTAAAAGCACTTTCAGTTCTAGACATGTTGCTGTGTTTATATGGCATGAGTTTATATATTAGATTACTGAGTAGTATTCCGTGTATATATACCACATCTTCTTGATTTACTTGTCTACTTTTGAACACTTGGTTTATCTCCATATCTTGGCTACTGTAAATAGTGCTGCTATAACCTGAGGAGTCCAAGTTTCTTTCAAAATAGTGGTTTTTGGGGGGTAGATATCCAACAGTGTAATTGCTAGGTTATATGGAAGATCCATTTTTAGTCTTTTGATGAAACCCTGTGCTGCTTTCTATTGGGGCTAGACCAGTCTACATTCCCACCAATAGTGTGGGAGTGTTCCTATCAGATTTCCCCCCAAATAACACAGGTGTGTGTGTGTGTGTATGCATACATATACTCATAAATACATACCCTCTAAAGTCCAAAAACTATTTTACCATTGAATCAAGTAGCTCTGAGCCAGTCATGGAATGGGCCTCAAGTTTGTGTATTTCTATTAAAGTTTGAATTGATTACAATTAAATAAAAATCCAGTGCCTCAGTCACTGCCACATTTTCAGCACGCAATAGAAACAAGTGACTAGTGATGCTACAGTGGCCAGTGCAAATATAGAACAGCTCTATTCTGGCACCTACCAGTAAACTGTGGGTGTGGCCCAGGTAGTGAAGGTTTTAGTCTGCATCTCAGTCAGGTGGAGTCAGAATCATTTTGTATGGTTGTCTCCTGGTAGCCATAGTGCTAGATCTTAAAGCTAAGCATCTTCCACACTTTTCTCTTGGTGAACTTTAAGCCATTGCTTGATTCTAATTTTTGAGGCCAATGGTTTATTTAAGGTCATAGACACACTCACTGACCTTGACTCCTGACAGCTGAGCCTCTCTCTCCTTTGTCCCACTTGCTGTCCTCTTTCTCAGCTAACAGTTCCCAGCCATATTAAACCTAGGACAACCCACTTTGCTTTACCTCACTGAGTCATCATGAAATTAGTCTTCCATATCAAAGTTGATGCTAGAGCATTAGTAGCTATGAGAAGGAGATGGGAAGGGTAGCAGAATATGTTCAGTAGAAATTGTCTAAATTTAGAGGCAGGAGACATTGGATGTTTGGGAAAATATTTTAAAAGCATGTGAAACACCTCTAAAATCAAGTGTAGGTCCTGTAGGGAAAAGGAAAAATAAATTCAACACAGAAAATGTCTCTATAAAGAAAGTAGAGAAATAAAAGTTGAGTTAACGAATTAGCACTAAGAATGTTAAGACACATCTCAAGCAATCCACAGGATTGCAAAGATAAAACGAAATCTCACCCTTTTAGCTAATCAAGCAGATATGTGTTCTTAAGATCAACTAGTCCCTAAGTCCTAACTTGAGGGCACCATTTGTCATATGAAATTCACGCTAGACTCACCAGGACATCGGAGTGACCTATTATCAAAGGAAAAATAAACTCTTATTTGCATGACAAGAGGTAGTTTTGCAACTTGGAGACACCTACCAAAGTCAGCTTCCTACCTTCCCAGAGAAATCAGAGGGTGAGTAGCATTAACTCTACTGATCACTGCATTTCAAAGAGTTGGTTCCCTAATCCTAGAAAAAGACATTGTAGTTCAAAAGAAGTCAGTGAAGGGAGATGTTTGATATTTTTTCTGAGGATTAAATTGAACAGTTTATAATTAATGATTAAAGTCACTCAGAAATTTTGTAAGGTGGCATACTTTACACTGGGGCTATTAACTATAAAAGTTGGTCACCAATGGGTTCTAAGTTGTCTCAGAAATAGTTCATTCAATATAAATTGTTAACGTCTCCCAGTTGAGGGTCATGAGCCAATTTTTATCTTCTCATTTCTCTTCCCTATTTCTGAGGTTTCCCATTAGGGAAACTCTATGTTCCTGAAAGCTACCTTTCCTCTATGCCAACTAATCATACAATACTTACTTCACGGATAATTTTTCCTCTCTTGTTTGTATTTTATTAAATTTGATAGTAATATATAGCTTATCTTTGCTAATAATACATTATTTTTTATAAAGTAGATTGACATTTTACAGTACTTATTTCTATACTCTTGGACCGTGATACCTATCACAGAATAGACCTTTATTGATCGAAGTGGTAGTGTGCTACTTTATAAGGTGCTGTTTGCTGTGCATCAATCTCCCATAATATGTGATATGCTTCGACTGATTCAGAACGGCATGTGCACTGGCTTTATGCTGTGCCCTTACTGTTGCTGTGAGTATACTTACAGAAGGTATAGTAATTTGTTGTATTTTCAAACAGTGAAATCTGGCAAGGAACTGACTCATCATCTCATTCTCTAAATTTTGCATGCTTGGACAAAGGTCACGTTGAAGTCCACAGCTAATTTCTTACATAAGAAACTAGCAGGATCCTGGGCCACTGACCCAGAAACAAAACCAACAGACAGGAACAGCAAGACAATTTATTTTTGTCTTATAAAGAAGGTTGTCCCCATGTACATCCAACAGTCCTCATTATCTTTGATTTTCACAATAGGGAGAAGTGTAAGAAAACTGAAATTTACTTCAATTGGGGAATTAGTGGTCTGGAGGTTTAGCAACAGAGATCAATTATTCCAGAGAGGGGCCTTCCTTTTCTGAGGTGTAAAGCAGGCTAAGTGGGGGCTTCAGTTCTCATAAGTGCCATTTCTTCTCTTTTGAATGTGAATTTCCCCCAATTAATCCACTCCACATGCCTCAGTCCCCACAGGACTTACATTTAGAATGTTTTAGTTAATAATGGCTACTGAGTTCTAAGTTATTACTTCTTCTAGGAATGTGTATTTCAAACAGAAGCCAGAAAGATCAAAATGCTTGTTAATCAAAGAAAGTGTGATGGTAAAACTTCAGGAAGGTGGGAAACAGAATTGAGATAATTTGATAACAGACCTTTTCAATGTCTCCTAAGCTATATCACAGAAGCAAGTTACTCCTTTAGCCACTGCTGATCCCTTCTGGGAGGGGGAGAGAAGGGGGCCTTGTTAAATTGTTCTTGTTGCTAGGTCATGTGCTTGGAGGAGCTGGAAATTTAATAATGGCTTGGGAGAAAAGAAATTTTTTTACTATCCAAAAGTATGTCAGTAAGAAGCAAGCAGCTAAAGAGGGAAAAAAAATTTCTATCAGCCCAAGCTCCAAAATTCTGAAACTATTGTTCAATAGGTTTTCATCTTATTTATTCTTTTCTTGCTTCTAAGCTTTTCTACTGCATTTCCCTTTGAAACTAGTGGCTTTCATTTTATCATTTCAGTTGAGTTCCCTACCAGTTCTTATGAAATAACTAGGAACTTTAAAAAGATAAATTCCTATTTTCCTACTTAGTCACTTCCCATTTCTGCCTACAGCAAAAACATCTGGCGAGTCTAATTTTAAGAAATCAACCTTCTCTATATGGGAGCCTTTCATTTTTTATCAAGCTCCCTGTGCTTTTCAGTGCTTCTTTCCTCACCTTCTCACCATAGTCAACCTGCTTAGCTCTATTTCACTCCCACATCATACTCTGCAAACGTAAAACCATTAGCAAATGTTAATAATAGTAACCCATCTGACTTCATTATTTCTGTAATGGAATCTGTCAAGGTCAGCCACTGATGGCTAT